CGGGGTGGGGTGCTGCAGCTTCCCCGGGGCCGCGCTGGTCGCGGACGGGTCCCCGGCACCCACTGGTGCAGCCGTGCCCGCGTGGGAGCCGGGGAGAAGCCTCCCAAGATGGCTGGAGCCTTGCAAGGGCTTAGAGCTGCGGGGGGCGACGAGTCCCTCCCCGCCTTTGGCAGCGCGGGTTTCACCTGTCCCGCGTCCTGGTGCTGACGCTCTCCCCATTCCCCCTCCCGCGTGGAGCTCGTTCACCTCGTTAATTGGCAAAAAAAAACCTTTAAACTTCTTCTCCGTGCTGCAGTTGTTTAGCAAAGAGGCCCCTATTCCCTTCTGGCCCCAGCCCAGAGGCTTCGCAGAATGGGCCGAGTGTGGAGAACATGAACTTGACCAAAAAAGTGGATAGCTTTTCCTGGGATCGTCGTGCTGAAACAGCTTGTTGATAGCTCCAAGGAGCATCAGCAGCAGTACAAAGGGGCAAAAAACGGGTGGATGGAGGAGACAGACCTGCAGCAGTTAGATTGGCATGGGCTGCCAGGAAGCCTGAGTCAGGTTTTTGGGGCCCTGGGCCCGTTAGGGCTAAAGAAGTTTGGCTCTGGCTCACCAGCTCCTGGGCAGTATAGCTGCAGAAGTAGTAAGGCAGGAGGTGGACTGGCATGTCGGTACTTGGTGTGATTTTGCACTTAATGGGGTTAATTCTGAAAGTATCTGCTGCTGTCAAAGCATTCTTTGAATGAAAGTTAGCCACAGAAGTCTGAAAAACAGAATCTGTGGTACTCCAACAAACAGAAACATTGAAAAGGTAGAAGAGGAAGAGAATATGCTATAAAAGTAATGACTGCCACTAATAAGAGGTTATAAATTTCCTTCCAGATAGTCTTTTAACCTGTCTGTTTAACTGCCTTCTGCTGCAAGTGAAAGAAATAACATTTATTAGTTATCAGTTGCAAATGAAATGAGTCAAGATCTAAGCTTTTTTCACTATTCTAATTGTTTAATGTACCCATGGTTTTTCTATAGATACAACTTGAAGGCATAACATAAATTATGCTTTTGTTTTAGGCAGAGAGGAAAAATTTTGTTTGCCTCTGTGGAGGTGTGAGTTTTCCTTCACTCTTCAGGTATATATTTATGAAGTATTTAATAGAGGCAGGCTAAACTAAATGAAGGTCTGAATTCAGAATGTGCTAGTTAAGCTGTAACTAAAGTCATGTTGAAATGAATGAAGGTAAAGTAAATTTAGTTGCTTCTCTGGAAAAGAATGCTCACAGAAGAGATTTGTTATGCTTTGACATTTCATATTAATTTAATTTGATTTATTTAATAGGCTGATCACATAAGCTCAAAGTTCAAATTTTGAGATTACTTATTAACTCTTTTTAATTTGACCTTTAGTTTACTTGCAGTGTTTTTCTTACACAGAACGGTTAGAATTTTTCATTTTTCATAATTTTTTTTGTCCTACAAAAAGCTTATGTGCTCTTCTGACTGTTGAGACATTTTACTGCTGTGTTCCATACTGATCATGGAAGTCTTCTGTTTATTTTTTTTTAACCTTGCTTTATAAACAAATCTTACACAGTATTATTATCCTACATAAAAATATTTTGGTTGGCTTCTTTGTGACGTGTAGTGTCACAAATGTTCAGCTTGGGTTTGAGATCCTGTGTCATTCTCCGTTCTTATGGTTCATTGCTCATTTCCAGTGAAATTCCTGTTACCCATGGGTTTAATGTCTTGACCTAAAATGATTTAAGACATTTGATCTGTTCATTAGAATGTGTCCTGAGAGATTTATGTAGGTATAAATAATGCTGGCTGGAATTCTCTGAGGTTTTTGAGTGTTAATTCATGGAAAAGTACTTCATATTTGTATTTTACTCAAAACTTTTCATGTACTGTACTTGCAAAAACATGTATGGCTCTACCAAGGCCTAAAAAACTTAGGCCATCTTCAAAGACAGACCATTTTATCTGAGACTTGCTTCTCTTACACGTGTTCAGGCATAAATAAGAGGACTACTACAATTGAAACAGCTTAAAATATGACTGACTTACAGTGGAAGGATTTTAGCAGGTCTGCAGCGAGAACTTCCGTTTTCCTTCATGTACAAATTTAGAAAATGTACAAGGATTTGCAGAAGTGTAGTTTCTGTAGCAGGTAGAAGGAGCCTGGCCTAGAGGAAGAGCCCGAGAGGAGAATTTTGAACTCAAAAGGGAGGTCCAGCTGCGCTACTCTGGCACTCATCACACAGGGAGCTCTGTTTAAGATGTTATCTTCTCCAGCTTCTGGAACATCCTTTGCCTGACTGAATAGGTGCTACAAGTGAAAATTAAAAATAAATAAATAAAAAGAAGGAAAGAAAGAATTTGTGGGGAAACTATGGAAGTGAGAAAATGGACAAAGCAGGCTGAAAATGCTCAGAGTAAGAAAAGTTCCAGGTAAAATGTTAGCAAGGAAAATGTTGCCTGTTTCCATTACTTCTTTGGAAGTTTTTCCATATGACTTTATAAAAAGAATTGCTTGTAATAAAAGCTAGTACAAGCTGCCCTGAATGTTACAGATCTAAAAGATATGTAGAATTGTAAGATTGCTGTGAAAAGACTTAACAGGGTCTTAATAAATATGCTTATTTTAAAATTATACAGAGTAACTACTGTGGTGTTCTCTCAGTAACAATATTAACGGAGAGCAAATTCTCTGAGGTAAGTTACCTGTATGTGTAGGCTTATTACTTTGCCTTAATTTTACATAGATCTGTGGCAACATTAAACAGGGAGAAACAGACTCTGTAGGAAATGTCAGGGGGGCAGAAGGGAACCAGCCCCTTAAACTAGGTAGGTTGCAACTTTTTTACCTCAGCTGGTGGCTCTATTTAAGTACTTTGAATGAGATGCTGTAATGCTGACATTGTTTCTTAATGGGTCATTAACACTGGCCTTCCCAGGAATAATAAAGGGGTTGTCAGAAACAAATACTAAATATGCTTGAAAAGCCACTAAGCTATCATAGAAATGCGTAACTGTGAGAAAAGTACACATACATGCTTTAGATTTATACTCTTATTTGAAGTAGAACTACTGCTTTTGCTCCTGTACTTTATCAGTCTCTAGATTGCATAGGAACTAGGAATACTCTCAGCAGAACTACCCTAGCGAGCTTCTAGCACATCACTAAGCATGTCATGAGCAGAAAAAAAATGCTTCTGTAAATTGTATGTGGTGTTTAAAATATTTTCCAAGAAAAATGAACAAAACTAACCTCAGTAAAAAGAACCCACAATTTAAGCCTGCAAGCGTGTTATTGTATTTAAGTGAGCAACATGTCACTTATTTCTGAAATGTAAAGTTTGTTTCATTTTAGCCCGCAAATTCACAGACAAGCATGAATGGGTATCTGTTGAAAATGGCATTGGAACAGTAGGAATCAGCAATTTTGCACAGGTATTGATCCTTCCTCCCTTACCCAAGTCAGCAATATTTATTTATGCATACCTGCTCTTGTCCTTGCTCTTTGGACAGTTACTGGGTTTTTTATTGTTCTAATTGCATATGCTATTCACTGAGCACGATTTTCAGACTTGGATTTATCACGTTATTTCTGAAGTGAACGCTGCTTCAGCATTCTGATAGGTTCTTAATCACTTCAGATTGAGCCTACGGAGAGCTGAACTTGCTGAGAACCTTAATGGTTCAGCA